ACATGTTTCTCCCTTTTCACATCGAGGGAAATGTAATATTCTGCATTTTCAATATTTCCTAGGATATTTCATTTTTCTGGGAGAGGGTGATAACTTTCTACACAACCAATTAAACAATACCACAATACCAGAATTAGACTTTCTGGTTTTTACATCATTGGCATAATCACTGTCAACATAACATTTTATTTTCAATTCTTCAGAGACCTGTATTTGAAGACCCACATTCACAGTTCCCTTCAAATACATGAGAATCCTTTTTATACCCAAACTTTTCAAACTTTTTATGCTTGTTTGGCATGTTTGAACCTGCGCATTCAATAAACTTTTCCTATATTGCATCGCTTGGCTTCGTTGTCTCTTCTTTCCACTACATATCTAAGAACTGTCTTTTCTATACGTTTTTGTCTGCTTTGGCTGTCTTGCTATGAACCTTTGCACAAATAGAATCTGCTTCTTTTGATTCCGAAGTCTGAATCCCTTAATTTTCTGCAACACTGGGATCTCAGAAGGAGCTGACTCCCCCCCGGGAACTGATCACACCCGTGTATTGGAAGTTGGGTTGGGGTCGTGCCCCTGTGTGTTTTACTATACTTTGCCTTTCTTGGAAGAGGAATACTTTCTTATGCCTCCTCTTCATTGACAGTGTGTGGTAAGCTTTAATCTTTTTGATATTTTATGCATTTAATTGATATGTGTATTTTCTGAGATTGTGTATTTTTCCCCCCCTGATGTTGATACTATCACTGCCTCTTTGTTGGTTGTTTTTTTATAGACACCGTACGTATGTGTTTGCTTTGATATTGTGAAGTGTTTCTTGAATCCCTTTTGACTAGATCTTTCCCAAAGAAAGATCCAAAGTTGGGTGGATTGTTATTCCTCCTGCCTTTTTCCTTAGTGGTCATGTGTAGGTTGTTTTTTTTTAAATTGTTACATTAATTATCCAGAGTGTGTTTCTTTTAATGACTCCTGTGGTAAGATTTTTGAACATATGACTCTTAATTATTTCATTGACCCCCCAGGCGGGGGAGAGACCCAGAAACTTGGGGGAAATCTCCTGGCTGAATGGAGAGGCTGTGGCTTAGGGGTTTTGGGGTCCTTTTTTTCATTTCTTTTTGCCAAAATAGCCCTTTTATTTTTTAGCCGCCTCTTTTGAGTTCTCTCTGCAGCCATTTCCATCCTCTGCTTTAAAACCCTCTTGGAAGACGTCCACGGATGTGCATGGGGGGGCCACACGCACCAAATTGAGCAGAGTGTCTGTGTGTGTGTGTGAGTCAAGGGACATGTTTCTCTTACCCCCTTACCCCCCCCCCCAAAAAAAAAGTCTTAGTCACTTCAGGCCGAAGGGAGTCTTTTAAAATCCTCCCGATTGAAAAACGAAGGCCGAGGAGGGAGAATTTCGGCCTCTCCCCAAGTCCAAACTTCCTTTTCTTCTTTTTTACACAGCAGAATTTTGTGGTCCGGGGTGAGTCCCCCCCCCTCCCTTCTGTTGAAAATGACGTGTGTATGTGGGTGGGTGTGTGGACGTCCCTGTCTCCTGTAACCATTTTCTTAATTGCCTTCTCCCCCCCCCCCTCCTGTGTGTGTGTGTAAGAATAAAATCCGATGCAGAAAAGAGAAGGAGGTTCCAAAATAAATGCCGCTTTTAAAATAAAAATAAAAATTATTTCATTGACTGACAATCATGATTGACGCATAGATGTATAGACATATAGACTCATAGACGTGAGGGGCACAGGCAGGATGGCATAGGTGTCCAAATAATGGGAATTTCAGAAAACTCTTCTCAAGAGTTATTTCCAACAAAAGAGAGGTATATATTTTACGTGGCCCTTGAGAAGACAGTGGAAACAAAAGAGAAACGATGAATGTTAATCCTAATAAAATCAGCATTGATCCCCACATGTATCAGAGTAGGAAGGTAAGCATCACATTTTTTTGCTAGACTATTGTCCTTTACTGTGGGTCCTCCAAAAATACACATATTATTTTTTTTGTCCTAGAACATCCCCACTTTGTAGATTCATCCTGCAAAAGAGAAGTGTAAATCTAATTTTCATCACTCCTGAATTACATTGTTTTGGGTAGGCACCAGTGTTCAAGTCTGTCTTGAATCCATATTAATCGGCTTTTCTCCCGATTTAAGGTTATGCCACTGGAGCCTGCTTCCGTCAGAGTCCTTTTTGCCTTCTTCTCATTATCTATCATATTGTCTCCTTTATTTCCAATTGTTTATTTCTTTACACTATGCTCAATTTGTTGTGTTGGTTTATTTTTCTCTTCCTTATTGTTATTTAGTCTTCTTTATGATATTGCCTAACCTAATTGGAGGTAGCTTAACCTTGCTCTCTAATGTTGAGTTTTCCATTCCTTCTTTTGTCTGAATTGCTATTTTTCATCCTGGGTACTTTTTCCTTTTTCAGCACTATGATTTTTCTTTACCTGATCCCGTTTTTTCCTTTCTGTCTTTCCTTACAATAATCTCAAATTATTATTAGTGTTTTTTAGTTTGCTTTTATAAGTGTCTATACCCCAATTTAAGTACTTTCTGCCATGTCGCCCCTTTTTCCTGTAGATAAGGGTCAGCTTGTTTGCTCGAAAGGGCCATTGGTTTTATTTCCAGTGCCTGCTACCTTTCAATAATACCTTTCGGTTGCAGGAACTGAATATGTCTAGTTTAATGAAAAGAAGGACTAGGAGAGACGTGATAGCAGTCTTCCAATATCTCAGGGACTGCCCCAAAGAAGAGGGAGTCAAACTATTCTCCAAGGCACCTGAGGGTAGAACATGAAGCAATGGGTTGAAATTAATCAAGGAGAGAAGCAACTTAGAAATAAAGAGAAATTTCCTGACAGTTAAAAGAATTAATCGGTGGAACAGAAGTTGCCTCCAGAAGTTGTGAATGGCCTCATTTGCTGAACCTGCGGTTTGGCTTTCAACATTTCCTGTTTTTAACACGCCTTAAAAGCAAGTTTCACTTCTTCTTTCTGTCTTGTCTCACTTTTATAACCTGATTCATTTTACGTCATGCCCCACAGCCACCTATAGCCAAAGGCAAGTCTGGAACCCTCCATGACTTTAGCTGCAAAAGTATTTAATATTTTCCACCTTCTTGATAATAATACACAGAATAAGATCCTACTACCTGGGAAAGCTACATGGGAATGTATTCATCATTTTCTGGATTGCTTCCACAGCTAAAGGCTGAAGAAAGAAAGAAAGAAAGAAAGAAAGAAAGAAAGAAAGAAAGAAAGAAAGAAAGAAAGAAAGAA